TACCTTGAGAGACGACAATCTTCCCGGAAGCATCTGGAAGGAGAAAGGGCGGTGCCTCTGAAGGGCCCTGGTCGAAGCACTGGGTCACGGTCACCATGCCAACCCAATGGGAGTAGGTCACGCATGGGATGGCTGCTGTCCATTTTGGCACTTGCTGCGCTGAATAGAAGTCCTGCCGGGTGTGCCAGCCCATGACAGACGCTTACCAGACCGTCTATAAATATTTCTGGTTGGGAGTTCATTGTGAATCTGGCTGTGATCGTCGTCCTGACTGCGACGTTAAATAATTCCTGAAGAGATGGGGGCGCTCTATAAATTCCTTCTGATCAGCCAGATCACATGGACAGGAAGGCTCGTCACCGTACGAGGGTAAATAAGAGTGGTTGGGCTGGCTTGCTCGGTAACGACTTGGGCACAGGGGTGGGCCGACAAACACACGAAGACACCGCTTACTCATTGATGCTGTCCGGTATGTTGGATTGAGGGGAGGGTAGGTTCCAATTGGTGCTCAACTATATACACAACCATACCCACTCATCATACATCTGCAACATGGTCTTTTTGTATCTTTGATTAGTTGGTGGACAGACTGCTAACACCTCACAGACAGGACTAAGATCAGGACTGTTGTATGCTACCATAGCCAGTTCTGTCTAATGCTGTTGTAAGAGAACCAATCAGGGTACATGTAGACTATGTTGACAATCTGTGTGAATGTTGTAGACATGCCACTTGATCGGTACAGTAGGGGACCTGCCGGACGCAACTATTTTTAGAAAATTAGGTGCCGGTCAGACACATGCTGTGGTAGGATTCCACCAGGGGATTCTAGTGCAGATAATGTCTGCTTAATTGATGAACGAATCAGACATCGATGTGAGACTAGGTGACGATACTAGACTGACACGTTCGAGATCACGAAGGATCCCGCACGTGTTTCGGGCCCTGGAACCGGGAGAAGAAGGATGGCTGCGTGACGAACGTAGAGCCCGTGCACTAGCAGCAGCTAGGGAAACAGCAAACGCCGCAGCTAGGGAACAGGCTGCAGCAGCAGCCAGGGCAGCAGCCATGACTAGCTCAGCAGCATCCTCTGCGGCTTTGTCTGGGACCAATGGGACCCAGTTGGGAATGCCCACAGGGTCCACGGGTACTTCCAGTTCATTGGGAACTCGATAGTCTACAAGTCAGATGGCGGGCTCGCAGTTCAGCCCGTTGACCCCATGCGAAAGGGAGCTAAGAAAGCTCTAACAAGTCGAAAAGATCCGAGAACGATTAGAGAGGGAACAGAAACAAGCTACCGACAGAGAAAGGGAGATTAAAAATAGAGCAGCCAGGCTTGATACGTTAGAGGCTGACAAAGCTGAGTTAGAAGGATTGGATGAGTCAGGATTAACTGAGCCAATGAAAGTGTTGAAGAACAACATGCTGTCGCTGCATGCGCACGTGGATAGCAGGTTGGACTTCATGCAGAAGACTTTGGACCAGATCCTGGACGTTCTGACCAGGCCAGGATTTAGGCCACCAGCACAGTCGCCGTTGCCGTTAACGGCAATGTCAGGCCCCTTTCCAGTACAAGCTGGCACACAGCCAAGTGGCACGTCCGCAGCAACCGCACAGACTGTTGCATCTTCTTCTTCGGGTATAGCGGTGGTTGCTACACCACAGCAACAATCTGTTCCGCAACAGGGACAGCCGCAGGGTCAATGGTTTCCTAAGACACCAATGAAACCGCCTCTTGCCTTCTCAGGCGAGAGAAAGGACGAAGAACTCAACACTTGGTTGAGAACAGTCCCGGTTTGGGTGAAGGCAAAGTTGCTGGAGGACGAAGTGGTTACTGTTGCATCTTACCTTGAGGGTAAGGCAGCCAAATGGCTAGATGGTGTAGTTGTGAAGGCCGGGTACGGACGACGTATGGCGGACTGGGCTAAGTCACTTACGTTAGACCAGTTCATGGAGATGGTGGAAGCTCGATGGCATAATCCACAGGAGGCACAAAGAGCCATTGATGCGATCAATAGACTAGACAAACGAAAGTTCAAGTCGGTCAGAGAGCTTACGACTACCGTGGAGAGCCTGATCCTCGTCCCTGGCATCAACTACAGTGACCAGTTCTTGTTACATCAGGAACTTGCTGGCCAGCGAGGCCCGCCTCGAGTACCATTAGTTTGAAACAATGTCTAGGAAAGCCTTAGATTTGGAGGCCACTCTAGGCAACGCTCAACCCTCCCAGAATGACACGAAGAAGAAGAAGAGTCCACAGGAGTGGAATAAAAAGGGGCCAAGTTGATGATGGTTGAGTCCAATGGGACTCAAACAGAGATCGTTGGGCTCACCGACCTGCTGGACACTTCAGAGTACGACGGCGAGGAGGTAGTTGAGGGTAGCACCCTCGCCGCAGTAGTTAAAGCTAAGGCTGGTGGCCGAGTGAAGGGCCAACCAAAGAGTCAAGGGAAGGCCGCCTCCAATCAGACCAACGTGGCTGATTGGGTGAAGGCAGGTCTTGATCAAGAAGTGTGGCGGGACCGCCAAGTGCGTGGTGCTTGTATCAACTGTGGTGAATACGGACACACCCAGTACAAGTGCCAGAACGCTAAGGTCACGCAGAAGATACCTCCTAAGATGGAGGCATCTTCTTCCCAGGCCTCTAGCTCGGGAAACCAATGAGGCCGGTGGAAGTTTTAGTTGCTTCTACTCAAGATGAAGTGGGCCCGATACCCTCCCCACTTCATGAGCAGGCCAAAGCTAATGACTCTTTAGTCACCCCGCAGATTCATCTAGACCAAACTATGCTCTGTACGTTAGATGTGTCTGAAGCCTTAGAAGACTTGGAGAGTGAGTGGTCAAACAAGGACCCTCGCGAGTCTTGGGTGGCGCTAAGGAAAGGTCCTAGAGGGGAACATTTCGTGGTGGAAGTCGATGTAGGAGGCCGCAAATGTGGTGCCTTCATAGAAATAGGCTCTACGCGGAATTACATAAGTCGCGACTATTTGGAAAGGTTGCACCTACAGGACCGGGTACGACACCTTAGTAGACCTGTAGCATCTACTTTGGCCAACAAGGAGCGCATGATTGTAACAGACTATATCAAGGACGTAGTCTGTACCTTCTCCTATGGAGGAGGATAACTTAATCATAAAATTTTATTCTTGGTTAGCGACGACTTACCATTTGACATGTTGTTAGGCATGTACTACCTTGAGGTTGCTAAGCCCCAATTTGACTGGGATAAGAAGGTGCTAAAGCATAAGTTGCCCGATGGCAGAACAGTCAGATTGACTAAGTTCAAAGCCAGTAGCATTATAGATACCTATGGCTGCTTGTGCACATCAGCGTTCTACAACTATTATAAGCAGAATCAAGAGGAAGGTATGTACCTAGTGTATGTCTCTGAGAAAGGGGAGGCCGTTAAAACACCCCCAGAGATAGAACGCGTCGTTGCTAAGTTCCCTGATCTGTTCGAAGAGC